ATTTAGGGTTTAGGGTTTAGGTTTAGGGTTTAGTAATGTTCACTTAAGTGAAGTAATAAACGATAATTGAGGAAAGAAAACAGGGATGGTAAAACGTTAATGAAAGAAACAAATGTTGTGGAGGATGATATATTTACCAAGTGAAACCAAACCGGGTATATCTAGCATGTTAAAACGATATATTTTAGAAGTTTAGTACCTAAGCTTAGGTGGGACTGTAATGTATATTTCACTATCGAGATATTTAATAGGTTAGCCGGTATCCCACCTTACGTGTACAAGTGAGTTTTACCCTTCCATTTCCACTGCATTCGACGTCTGGTAAATCGATTGAGAGAAAAAGATAGGGTTTTTACAAAGTGATACACGAAATAAGTAAGGTTTTACTGAGAGAAACGAAGGTAAAACCCAATGGTTGTCGAATCAGAAGAAGTTCGCCATGAGTCATCTGAAGAATACGACTCTGAAGAATACGAAGATGATGACGAGGTGCTCAATACTGAGCACATAGATGTGGAACTGGAAGAAGATGATTTCAAGACACAGGGTAAAGAGAGATGCAAGGATGCTTTCCTTAACTTCAGTTCTGATTATGAAGATAATGAAGCCGATGAAGACAATGACTTAGTTGATGAAGATGAAGAAGGGTTTGGTTCAGAAGAGGAAATCGATGACACAGCAGGGGCTAATGATCTTGATTTGGGAGATGCGGTTGGTGCAGGCTTCCCCATTCACGACCCATCAGTTAAGTGGAATAAGATGAAGCCCCTTCTTGGTGAAAGGTATGAATCACCACATCAGTTGCAACAATGTCTCACTAATTATGCTATTAAGTCAGGGTATAACATTAAATTTGCGAAGTGTGACACTGTGAGATTAACTGCCAAATGTGGTTCTAAGATGAAGTCTCAACCCTGCCCATTCAGAGTTCATGCTTCCTGGATGACTCAAGAAAGGTCTTTTCAGATTAAAACCTTAGTCGATGAGCACAAATGTGTTAGAAATTTCAATATTTCAAATTTACTGAGTCCCAGATGGCTAGCAAGACACTTTTTGAAGGAGTTGATAATGAAACCTAACTTGAAGTGTAAGGAGATGCAATCAATAATTAGGACCAAATTTCATTGTGGTGTATCTTGGTCTAAGGCTTACAGAACAAGGTGTAGAGCAATGACCATTATAGATGGTAAACTTACAGAACATTATGCTAGGGTGTGGGACTATTGCCATGAGTTACTAAGGTCAAATCCTGGTAGCACTGTCCAAGTTGGTGTCACTGTAAATCCAGATGAAACAACATACTTTCACAGGATGTAAGGATGCTTTTAAAGCAATCAAGGAAGGTTGGAAAATAGGGTGCCGTAGGGTAATTGGTCTAGATGGATCTTTCTTGAAAGGGACATGTAAAGGAGAATTACTCACATCAATAGGGAGGGATGCAAACAACCAAGTTTATCCAATTGCTTGGGCAGTTGTTGACATTGAAAACAAAGCTAATTGGAAATGGTTTTTGGAACTGCTCACAGAGGATCTTAATCTGCTAGATGGAGGAGGGTTTACTGTAATTTCTGATCAACATAAGGTTTGTAATTTCTTTGCATATTTATGATTTTTCCTTAACATCATCTTATATGTTTATGTATTCATTAAATTGTAGGGATTGCTTGAAGCAACCAACGAAGTCCTACCAAATGTGGAGCATAGACAGTGTGCAAGACACATATATGCTAACTTTAGGAAGACCTATTCTGGAGTGGAGTTCAAGAATATGTTCTGGGCAGCTTCCTTATCAACTGTAGAGAGTGAATTTCTCAGGAAAATGGATGATATAAAAGAGGTTAATCCAAATGCTTATGAACATTTGATCGCAAGAGATCCTCACACATGGTGCAGGGCATTTTTTAGGACTGATGTAGCATGTGAGGCAGTTGAAAATGGCATTGCAGAGTGCTTCAACGCCATCATATTGGATGCTAGAAAGAAACCCCTTCTAGCAATGTTTGAAGAAATTAGGTTGTACATGATGGATAGGTTCTACCATATGTTACAAAAGGCAGAAAAGTGGGAATCAGTGGTTTGTCCAGCTGCTATCAAAAAAATGAACAAGTTTGGAGAGGATTTGAGGTTTGTCTTAGCATTTTTATTGTTCCTTGTTATCATTATTCTAATTTCATTGTTATGATTTCATTTAGTAATGCCATTGTAGGAATTGGAATGTGAATCCAAGTGGACCATCTATTTTTGAAGCCAGGAATGGATTAGAAGGGTACGTGGTTAACTTACAAAGCAGAGTGTGCAGCTGTAGGCTTTGGGATATCTCAGGAATTCCATGTGTACATGCACAGTGTGCAATATTATTCACTGGACAAGATCCTGTTCATTTCATAAGTGAGTGGTTTCATGTGGACAGGTTCAAGGCCATATATGCAAACAATATACTACCTGTGAATGGTAGAAATTTATGGCCTAGAACATCATACATAAAGCCTCTACCCCCTTTAGCTAGAAGAATGCCAGGGAGACCAACTCTGAAAAGAAAGAGGCATGCCACTGAATCTCAAGACAAATACTCCCAAAATAAGATGAAGGTTACAGGAAAAGGAAGGACTGTCCAATGCAAAAATTGTCTTCAAAGGGGTCATAACAAGGCATCCTGTAAGAATCCCAAGGTCACACCAGAACCCAAACCCAAGAAAAAAATGGGTAGACCAAGATTGGATCCTGATATCAGTCATTGGACTAGAGGTGGTGTCAGAGGTAGTAGAGGTGGTGCAAGGGGTAGTAGAGGTGGTAGAGGGGGTAACAGAGGTGGTGCAGTGGGTAACACAGGTGATGTAGTGGCTAACAGAGGTGGTGGAGTGGCTGAAGTTGGTGGAGTGGCTGAAGTTGAAGGTGGTGGAGTGGCTGAAGTTGAGGATGACACTATTCCTGAAAAATATTTAGTCCATTTATGGAAGGCAATGCAAGATTTGAAACAATCACGGTATTCAACTGAAGAAATTAAAAAGTCACTTAGTCTGACAGATTCACATATGAAACAACTCAATGATTACAATGACACTATTGAACAAGTTCTTCCTATGTCTATGGTAAACCCTCTATATTACCTTAATGTTTACATTCGTTTATGTTATTAATTGCTTGATGTTTTATAGGAAGAGGAGTATCCACCTCAGACAGAGACACAAGATGGGGATGAAGAAAATATCCCTGAGACACAACCAGAAAGTGAGGAAGAAGAAGAAGGCATTAATGACACCCATGAATTACCAGTACACCTTAGGATTGTGAAAAAAAGAAGGCCCTCTGAGAGGATTGTTAAAACCAAGCTGAAGAAGATGGGATGTGTTGGGACTTCTTCAAATTCACCATTGGAGTTGGATTAGGGTGTTAGGGTGTTAAGGGTAGTAAGGGTATTTTGGTACATCTTTTGTGAATGCTACTTTTGTGCATCTTTTGTGAATGCTACTTTTGTATATCTTTTGTGAATGCCCTTAAATTACTGATAACCATATTTTGTACATCTTTTGTAAACACATTGAAACATTGTGAATGCCCTTAACATGGTTGGTAATGACATATTGGAGTTTGTTGTTTAATTATTTTAGCCACATTGAAACATTGTGAATGCCCTTAATATGGTTATATTTGTCAAGTGTACACCATTTATGCAAACCAAGAAGGGCACCAGCAACACCTCTGTAGTAAGATCTTGTTATTGATCTAAATGATTCTTGACCATCCTAACAAATATATAAAGAAAAAAGAAGAGATTTTTTTAAGATTTCTTTTTATAATAAATGTAACAAGAGAATAAGGTATAGAAGAAAAGAAGGAGACAAACTGTGTCCCAGATTTGGAGCTTTATTGGTTTGTTGTCAATGGTGATCATTTTAGTCCCAAATTCAACACCAATTGTTAAATCATGGTTATATTTGTCTAGTGTACACCATTTATGCAAACCATAATAACATATTGCCATTTCATTAACCGAAACATTAAACTATTACATCAAAATTTATCTATTACATCATGATGATAACAAACCAAAAGATTACATCATCCCTACCATACCATAATACCCTACAACTTACACTAAACTAACCATACATCATCCCTACAATGAAACAAACAAAACAAACCATCATCCACTTGCAGAATCCAAATTCATTACTAGGCACATGTGTATTGTCACACATTGCAATTTGATTATCAGGTTCAAGAGCATTCGCAGGGGCAATAGGGACATCAACATTCACAGGGGCAATAGGGCCATCAACAGGTATTTCACCTTCATTAACAGGGTTATTAAAAGGAATAGCTACACCCCCATTAGCAACAGCTCCTAACTCATACATTCTTTCTTTATACCACTTATTCAATAGTGGTGGGTCAATCCAACGAAAATACCCACAGTCCTTCTCTTCATCCTACATAACATAGCAAGATGCATGTTTTTAACATAGAAAAATGGGAAATTTAGAGGATTAGAAGAATTTGAGTGAGTTTTGAAGATTCTATACCATGTAATTTGGGCAACCAAAAAACCTCCGACCTGGATTCTTTCGAGTCCATGATGTCCACATCCCAACCGTATCTCCACAATAGCACGTTCTGATGTTGGTGCTTGACGAACTCGACATCGATTTCCTGTTGCCAATTTGCCCTAATCGTTCGCTCCTTTGACTGGAGATTGAAGAAGACGAGCTCGATTCAATGATTTAGCCCTCTTAAATGGCACGTAGGATGTTATTTCACATGATGACTTCCACGTAAGCTGCCACATCAGTTAGATACCAGCTAACCTATTAAATATCTCGTTTTGATTACGTTTACAGGTATTTAGGATTAAATTGCAAAAAAAAAAAAAAATAAGGGCTAAATCGATTATACGGGCAATATTTAGGGACTTTATTGTAGTTTTCCTATAAACTTTCTAAAACTGAAAAATAAATTTGAAGTCATCCTGCACCGCTGCCCTCCTCACACTCTCACAGACGATGAGTCCTCACTCTCTCTTCCATGCCGTAGCTCAACCGCCGGTGATTTCAGTTCCGATTTCAAAAGTTTAGTGTGATCTCGGTAGCGATTTTATCAGCGTAGAGCGACTTCAGTGATATCAGTTCTGACTTCAACATTCTGTTAGGTAAGTCTACTAGTCGTTCATCGTTTTCGGAATTGCTAGTCAAACTTTTGTCAGCCATTCTCCTACCAAATCAAGCCAACGTTCCTTTAGGTAAGAATCCAATTGATTTTTCTGGGTATCCATTTGTTCTTCATTTAGATGGGTTCGATCCAATTGGGGCATGAACTAGGTTATCTAAGTATAAAGCACATCATTTGGGTTCGATTCAATACGGAGGCAATGTTTTTGTTAGGTTCGGTTTCAGGAAAGTATTATAATATTCAGTGGAATATATAGAAAATAAAGGAGTGTTTGGGAGTGCTTTTCAAATTTCAAATTTTTTTCAAAAAGTCAATAAATTAAAAAAATGTTCGGTAAACACCAGCTTTTTAAGTATTTTTCAAAAAACCAATAAATTGTTTGAATTCAGTGGTCTTTTTTCCCTTTAATATTGTGTTAGATATGTATAAAATTAAGAAAGAAAATCTATTTGGTTTTGCAGCGTTTGAGAAAGTCAAGTCATCAAAAGAAGAAATGAAAGGCAAGAGTCAGGATAGAATTAGCGATCTTCCTCAAGACACAATTGAAAAAATTCTGACTCATATGCCAATCCAAGATGCATTGAAGACAAGCATTTTGTCTCGGAAATGGAGGCATTGCTGGAAGGGAATGCCTAAACTTGTATTTGATGACAAGTACTTGAATACCTCACCAAGTAGCAAAGAAATTAAGAGATATAAGTTTGTCAATGCCATCTTCCATGTTTTGATGCTACACAATGGTCCAGTATTAGAATTCAGTATCTCTGTTAATATCAATACAAAAATTGATGATGAGATTGACCAAATAATACTCCATCTTTCAAAAAGCAAAAATATCAAGAAACTAATCTGTAAGTTTTGGTCAAATGACGTCATGAAGTTATTATTTTTTAAGCGCTACAAGCTACCCTCTGTGTTCTTTTCATTACACGGACTAGAACACCTGCATCTCACACATTGTGTCATTGAGCTTCCATTAAAATTTAATGGATTTATTACCTTGAGAAGTCTCGAGTTATGCAATGTCAACATCACTGTGAAGACGCTTCAACAATTACTTACCAATTGCCCAATACTTGAGGAATTTATACTGGTAATTAATTAAGTCCCATATAACCACTTACGAAAGTGCCTTTGGTTAAAACCTTTTTACAAATTATATTGATGCAGATTGGATCTCAAAACAACTCTATTGCACTAGGAAACAAGTGTACATTTCTTGAGCTATCCAAGTGTTTACCTTCAGTTCAGGTTCTGAAAATCTCTAAGTATTCTATCAAGGTAATAAATACTTAATGAACTTGATGCTTTTATCTCATGCAACAATATTGTGTTTTAACTCTAGTTTTGGTATTTGGCTAAAGCAGTTTGCTAAAGGCAGCATGCAGAAACTCCCTACTTCACTAGTCCACTTGAGGATACTTTTTCTTGATTTGTGTTTTCTGAAACAAGATGAGCTTTCGAATGCTCTCAGTGTGATCAGAAGCTCCCCAAATTTGGAGAAGATAAAAATAGAGGTAGATAATGCAATCACATACATAGTAACAATAGATCTACAATTCTGTTGACAAAAATATACAATACATGTTTTTTCATCAGCTGTGTTGGATCCATATGCTGTGTGGTGAAGAAACTTGCAAGGGCTTGCTTGATCTTCAAGACTACTATTTGGGAATGAAGTTGGATCGCCTTGAAGAACTTGAGATAACAAGTTTCCATAACTATGCTCCTGAAATGGAGTTTGTGAAACTTATCATGGCTAAATCACCTATGCTTAAGAAAGCACGGATAAAGCTTAATTCAGATGTTTCTGTGGATCAAGAAAATAAGATTCTTCGAGATTTGTTGCGATTAACATTTCCACGTGTATCACTAGGAGTGGATGTCATTGTTGAACGCTAAACAATTATATATGTGGATGCAATTGGGCTTTTAGTTTTCTTTGTTAAGTTTAAGGATTGTTGAAGCACAATGCCTTTATTGTCTATTTGAACTCGTTTAAATGTCTTTTGTGGATTGATTGTTAATATTATGATAACTGTTGCTTTATGCATTTGTCTTTTGCTCATTATTATAACATCTCCAACCTAACACCAAATCTCATTTGGTTGCACCTCTTTAGTGTAAAAGAAGAATATAATATTTGAAATTGGTCACACAATTAACTTGAATATTGTAACAAAAAATATATAACACAATTTGTAACAATTCAATAAATATAAAGAATCTTTTTGAAAATCTACAAACAAAAAGAGGGAGGGAGGGAGGGAGGGAGTATATATTTTGTGATATATAAATAAAAAGAATATTTATGATGTAAAGAAATTTAATTGTTGCACAATCCTTTTATGATTTTTGGAAAGAAATTAGGCTCAATACCACATCTGTGAACTTGGGCTGTTGGTTGTTTGGGCCCTAAGTTGCAACTTGGTCTAGCGGCCCATGATTTGGGGTGTGCTTGTATTTTTATCCCTGAATAAAAATTCTTGTTCCAAACCACTACCTGCGCTTATTAGGGTTGATCGGTGTATAATTTCTTATTTAATAACAGAAAATATTTAAAGTTTTAGATCAATCTGCAAGACTGCAACACTCCTTTCAAAAAACATACATCTGATCCAAACAATTATGTAAAATTCACTTCTTGAATCAACAACTAAAACATAAAATCTTCGGAAACATTAAACCTAAAATATAAGACCGCTAAAAGAGAATATCTAGATGCAACATATTATTAGATAAGCTTTTTTAAAAAGTGATTATTGTAATAATCGACATTATAATCCAGTTATATAAGGGGGAGTTTGAGAAAATCGATTTTAGAACAAGGACTAATGTCATAAAAGTCTTAAGTTTTTAACACCTAATTGAAAAAAGCCTATTATTATTATTATTATTATTATTATTATTACAACAACTTTCTCACAGAATTATCATTCTACTCCATTTAACGGGTTTCATGATCAACTTTGATTTTTTTTTTTTTTTTTTTTTTTGCAAAATTAGTCATAAATTTGACTTTAAAATTCAAATTTAGTCCTTGCAATTTGTAAAAAATTACACACATGATTTACTAACTTTATTTTTCGTTTTTTAAAATTATTATTATTATCATTATTATTATTATTATGATTATATATATATATATATATATATATATATATATATATATATATATATATATACACTTTATTTATTTATTTTTTATTTATTATAATATATTCAGACATTTTACATCTTTGTATTTTTTTAGTTTTTTTCATATTTGCTTTGGTAATATATATATATATATATATATATATATATATATATATATATATATATATATATATATATATATATATATATATGAAAAATTGTCAATAAAAAGTTAAGAATAGAAAAAATGAAAACAAACACGAAAAAAATTAGAAAACTAAAATTATATATATATATATATATATATATATATATATATATATATATATATATATATATATATATATATATATATATATATATAATTTTTAGTTTTTTAATTTTTTTCGTATTTGTTTTCATTTTTTCATATTCTTAACTTTTTATTGACATTTTTCAAAAATTGTAAAATGTATTAATATATTATAGTATATTATAAATTTGGTAATTTATAGTTTTTGAAAGCTTTTTATTTTTATTCAAGTAAATAAAAAAATATATAAATTTATATTTGTAATTTTGGTCCAACATATTTTATTTTATTTTTTGTTCTTTAATGATAGTATATTTACGAAAAGACAAGAAATTGTTTATTGAGAATTAATGTTTCAATGTTTGATATAACTTCCGAATTAAATAATATTTATATATGCGATATCAATAGTTAATATTCAAGATAACATTTTCTAATTTTATAATAGATTAAAAGAAAGAACAAAATTAATAATAGACAGTCTCTATAAAAATACTTTTTATAATATTTTAAATACATTTAAGTTTATTTACATGAATCAAAATAAATAAAAACATTAGAAAAACCACAAATAACTAAACCTAAAAAAAATAGAAAACAAAATGTAAAAAAGTAAAAAAAAAAAAAAATCAAATTGTTGAAAAATAAAGTTAAAAGAAATTAAAATAAGTTAAGTATGAGTAAATTACATGAATGGTCCCTATGGTTTATGGTAAATTATGCGTTTGGTCCCTAACTTATTTTGTTAACTCGAAAGATCCTTAATGTTTGTTTTTGTTACACGCTTGGTCCCTTTCTTACCTAAAAAGATTATTTTGCTATTGATTTTTAAATATATTTAAATAAACACACCCTCAACCCCATCCCCCTCACCTTACCTTACCTACCCTATCATTTTTCCCTATTGAAATAATAGTCTTTTTAGGTAAGGCAGAGACCAAACGCGTAATAAAAACAAATAGTATGGACCAAGCGCATGAGAAAAACAAACAGTAAGGACCTTCCAAGTTAAAAAAAAAATTAGTTATCAAACGTGCAAATTACCTTAAACCATATGGACCATTCATGTAATTT